AAAAGTCTATTAACCGGCAGTTGACTTCTCGCTTCAAACAACCATGGCCTGACTGATTGTCATATTCGACCCCTTTCACAGTACGTATCTTACCTTATTCTCTACCTTTGTGTCTGTCTGCCTCTTTTACATCTGTGAATCGCTCTTCTGATCCCCACCCCTCGACTTTCTGCTACTTTGATGAACCTTCCTTCTGTGAAGCCCGAAGTCAGCTAAATGGCTTATGATAGCTATCATAACGCCTGTCATTTGAAATAAAAAATAAAATAAAGGACCTTAAAGTAGCTTTCAGTTAATTGTTTTGGATTTTATTTAATAACTCTTCCACTTCACCGGTTTTAGACTCATAAATACGATGGTTTCAAATCTACAGGAATATTGTTAAGATAAAAGCATACCTTCATTGAATATTTTTTTCTGAAACACAGTTTTCGAGTACAGTTAACTTATTAGATGATTCCAAAATGAATTTAAATATCGGATTCAATATATCCTGAAAAACACATTTTCAATTACTTAATATTTTGGGGCTGGGAACAATTGTTTATGCATTAAATTCTTGCTTTATTTATGAGTTTTGAGCTTTATAGGCCCTTGGCATTGCAAGAGATTGATTGAAATACTTTAAATTGGAGTCTTCAATCCACAGCTAAGCACAACTTGTTAGCCAATTCACATCTACGAAATTAGGAAAACAATTTTAAATTACCTTACAAAATACCGCATTTAACAAAATTTATAGACGTGTGTCTGATAACATAAATGTGTAAGATGCTTTTAGTCCTTTATTTTAATAATTATTCATGAATAAAACATTCTGAATGAATGTAAAGCCAATTTTATGAACTTGATATTATATATAACTGCAATAGAAAAGAATTATTCAGGCATGGAAAGCAGCAATGATTGACAGGGGTATCAAAGCAGACCTTTCCACATTTCAATTGTCAAAAGCACCCAGTAGCCAGACAGGAAAAATGCAGAATTGTTTGGCAGATTTTTTTCCTTCGGAACATGGTCCATTTGCTAAAAGTTAAAATAAAAACGTTTGACAACTATTACTAAAATGATGCAACATCGTAAGACCTGCCAATGAGTCTTAAAATATCTACAATGAACAAGAAATTCGATAAAAAGCCACATAATTAAATCCCAAATACAAACTTCATAATAAAGTTAAAAACATGTGTTAATACCACATGGATATCATCAGTTTATGAGTAAATTATTTAATGCTTCTAAAATGTTGTTTTTAAACTCTCAATTTCAATGATTACTATCCAGTTTTTGTTGAAAAAATCTGTATCTCGAGGGATATAAAACTAGATTCTCTATTGCGTTTTTTTATTTTGTCTCGTAAATGTTTAACCTTGAGTTTCTTACTTCGATTGCTAGACGAATCGACATGCTAGATGACACTATCTTTCATATTTCGGGATAACTCCACTCAACCATCCTCGTTCTAATCGCGTGTTGGTGTTCAGATGTGCTTTGAACTTTTGGAGGAGTCGGAGTGTGTTCCTGAAAATCTTCACCGCATATGAAAATCAAATAGTGAGGCGCAAGATTCTAAGATAAATGAATAAATAAACGAATTTAGCTGTATTGTCAATTACATTGAAACAAGAAAATAAGAGAAAGCACAAATTAGAGTGCCCACGATTTTTAAAAGCATCCTAAAAAGCAATACCTTTGATAATATACAATATGATTTTCGTCGTCATTTTCAACTCTTTCCTATTCTACAGTTGCCCAATTTTTGAGCCCATTTCGTAAACGAATCCACAGCCTTTATTCAAGTAGAATACTTGTTGTATGTGATGTCTCTTCTGACCTAAAGACTTCGATTCACAGGCTCATATTTAGCCGTCCGACTTGTTTAATAATACAAAAGTTCTGCGTATATAACAATAAAGATTAAGGCAACTTTTTGACAACTGTTCGTTAACGTGAGAGAGATATGTAATGTTCTACTAAATTTATTCTTTGTATTTCAAACTCTAGTCACAGTTCGATACCGTTCTTTTCTTAATGTGCGCTCTGTGAGCATGAGAATGTGACCATGGTGAATATTAGAAAGTTGGATAACATTTTATTCGGCATTAGCGAGTTTATTGGAGAAAATTTTACGAGCATGATGAAAACCTTAGAAAAAACCCTCAGTTGAGCAAACGCAGGAAACTTACTTTAGTCTCGTAAAAGATACTATTTTTTTCTTTGAAATTTCAAAATTTTGAAAACTTTTGCACAATTCAGATGTATACGATTATAAAGCATTTATGTTTTAAAAAGGTTATTTAAAGGAGAAAGTTTAAACAAGGCGTTTTCTTTAATTAGTGAACCCACTTTGAAAATTTTAATCAAAAGAGGAAAATTTGGATTGAAATGAAGAGTGTAGAAAATGGTAAATCTTTTGCCAGAAATTCATACCAACTAAAATTGGCAAATAAATGTATTCCTTTGCATCCAGAATGATAGATATCGAATCTGTTTGGTATAACCATCTGCTTCTAGGTCACAGCGCATTTCATTAATTCGTACTGAAAGGAAGTCTGGTGATGGTTTGGGTAGGAAAACGTCCACACATTCAATTCTCCCGTCCATGAATTTACACATGTGATGTGCAGCACGATGAGACTTTTCTCCTATTTCCTTCAGAAATAGTTCACTTTAAATCGTTTTGACATTATCGAAAGCATCAAAACAAGGTAGAGGAAGCAACTGTCAAAATATGGAGAGCAATAGTAACTAAAAATAAATAAAGAAATTAGGATAAATACTTTTGTTTTGCTTGGTGAGCAAATATTTCCTTATTATTTTTGTTTTTGGACCTCTGGCCCTGAAAGGCAGCAGACAAGTTGATTGAATTTCTATTTCATTGAATCAATTTATTTTATCAAAACAATCTGTCATTTCCTCTTGTTTAAGTCCGCAAATATGAAGATTTGGAAATGACAGTACATTGGTATTTAGAGGTATAAATCGATTTCTTTAAATTATAAAATTACTCAATTTGCAATGAACATAAAATATTTCAGGTCTAAATATACTGACGGACTAAAACTTCATAACAAAAATCATTGCTATCTTTAAATGCAAACAATAGTGAATTGATTATACAATTAAACAAAATTTATTTACTTCCGGTATATAATATCATTGAGGTGGGGA